TGCTAAAAGCCACTGTGTCAAGTGTCCATCTTGGGTTGCCGTCCGGAGTTGTCCAATATGGCGGACCATCTCGCACATGCGCAGTACCGATCGGGCAGGGGGACGGATCGGGTAGTGACCAAGCCCCCAGGAAGTGCGCCGGAGTCTGATGAGAATATTCGTGCTGGCCAAACGGCGGTACTACACTTCCTTTAGGTTGCTGGGCCCGGAAACACTTTTTCCCATTGACTTACATTGGGAAAGAGTGGTCTGTAACTCGTTGGATAATTTTTTTTAAACTAAATAAACAACCCAGTATGAACACTTGAAAAGCCCTTATTAAAAACATTCGTTCCTCAAGTTGTAAAAATGTGCTAATAACGTTATTCTGAGAGTTATTTCCCTCGGCATTATGAACCCACGGGACCGCGCCACCCGGCACGTTCAAGTTACGTGTTCAGTACATGAGTTTCTCTTTACCCATGGATGCACAATAACAACGGACCCATATCGCCTTACTGCTAGCCCACGGAGCTGTAATAATGGATATATTGCACATGTTTGCTGTAATTCATCATTTGTAAATTATTATACTACATGGGCTGTATGATGTAAATCTTGTACCGTAAATGTTGTATTAAATAAAGTTAATATTACCGACGTAGATTAACATCCCTGTAGCTTATTATTGCACTAAGAAGCTTATTGCACTGTATATATATATATATATATATATATACAGTGCAATAATTATTTCATGCTAAATGAAGCTCTGTTGGATATCACTAGATCCTGTTACAGCGTAATATAAGTAGCCTACATAACAATTGATGAGTACATTAGCATAATTACTAGCTAGCCGCTAGCTGCTAACTGCCGCCTCGTTAATATCAAGCCATCATAATAACAAATCATTACCATGCTGTCATGAACGCACGGTGCTGTTACTGTACGTGTACGCAAATTGACGTGCTTGATGTGAATGAGCATTTTGGTTAAAGTTGCGCATGCTCTGAGTGCACATGCGGGTACTTCTCAGGCATGCCGGGTAATCTGTGACGTTTCACTCTCTCAAAAGTTGGGCCATTTTATCATCATGCGCTAATGAGCAACTCTCATAGGAATGAATGAGGCCCCGCCTCCCACGCTGTATCCAGTTCTTATTATACATCCATGGTAGTGACAGAGACCACTGGAAACGCTGTAGTACATATGCCGGGCCTGTAAGTGGCGCTGTACTTCCGCACAAGACCGCTCGTAAGCGCTGGAGACGCTGTAGTACATATGCGGGTCCGTTTCCGCGGTTCCGTTACGGCCTCGTGTGAACGAACGGGCTATACGCGAGAGAAAGGTAGCTGATACAACCCGTTTCGTTCTCGTGTAAACACCGCCTTAGTGTCCTGCAGAGTCAGATGCAGGGGCTTTATTTCCAAAGCAGCTATTTCACATCAACCTGCAACAATCCATCCAAAGAAGAGGAAGTAGAAAATAGACCAGCTCAGTCTGACAACAGGCTGAAATGCATGCATGTAAATGAAATCACCGTAGTTTAATACACACAGAAATAATAAGCTTTATCTCAATGAAGACCTTTTTTAATCAATGTGTTTTTATTTTTTGTTCAATATATGTATAAATAGCTGTTTTTTCAGCCAATGGATTTCTGAGAATACAAGATGCACATTTAATTAACTTAATTTTACCATCCCATTCATTCTAGGAGCACTACTTTCAGAGTGCTCGATAGGAGTGATTGTATGAAGAAAAAAACCTTTGACAAGCTGAAACGGATTTAGACATCATATTAGGAATCAAAAGAAGTGAACAAAGACAAAGACCATTCAGTACTGCTGTATGTCTTGATTGATAAGCAGAAAAATTATCTGACATTAATGTTTATGTTTCCAAGGAATTTTAATGTAGAGATTATTTCTAGTAAACTACATAAAGCATTTCAGACTTGTTGATATTGTCTAATCATCTTTGCTTATGTCAGCATGTTTCCTTTCAGACAAAGATTAGCACATGCAAAAAATGAAATTGAGATACACGGAAGTTAAGAGAAACAATTACACAATAACTCTTCCTCTCTAAATGTAGCTGAAATTTGAAATGAGTACTATATACAATTATTAATGTTGTGGCTTCCTTCCTAGTTTTTCTTTCAAGCCACGAGACGCCTTAAAGTTTACGGCGTCTCGTGGCTTGAAAGAAAACAAAGCCTTAAAGTTAGTTCGAAAAGTTAGTTTGCAAACAGCTAACATGGTTTCTGAAGACTTACAACATACTATCTGACATGCAGTCTGGGTTCCGTGCAGGACATGGGTGTGAGACGGCGACTCTCAAAGTCCTAAATGATATCATCAATGCCCTTGACTCCAGACAATACTGTGCTGCCATTTTCATCGATCTTGCCAAAGCCTTCGACACCGTAGATCACCAACTGCTTCTGGGAAAGCTTAGATGCATTGGTGTCACTAACCAATCGATAGCCTGGTTTGAAAACTACCTGTCCATGCGCACCCATGTGTAAAATCTGATGACACAGCCCCTATCCATCTCTAAGGGAGTACCACAAGGCTCTATCCTAGCACCCATCCTATTCTCAATATATATAAATGACATGGAGAAATCAGTGGGCAACTCCTCTATCCACCTATATGCTGATGACACGATTCTGTACACTGCTGGCCCTTCCCCGGATACTGTCCTGGAAACTCTTCAGGATAGTTTTCAGAGAATCCAGTCACATCTCTCTGCCTGGTCCTGAACACCACTAAAACCAAGATCATGTGGTTTGGCCGCAGTGGTGCCTCCCAAACTGGCACTATTGTGACCGCCGATGGCCGGGACCTCGAAATAGTTAAATCCTATAAATACCTTGGATTTTGGATTGATGGCATCTGATAGCTGGAATGTCTTTCAAAAAACGTTGAAAATGAAAACCTTTGTCTCCCCCCGCACCTTCAATGTCACTATTATTGACACCCTGGTACACACATGTAGCTGCTTTGCCTGATGCTGATTTTAATGACTGATTGAACCACAGCAATATTGTTTTAGAGTTTTTATATGTTTAACTGCTATGCCTGTCATCTTTGCTCTATGTGTTTGTGTTGTCTCCTGGGTTCTGTAGTGCCCAGAGTCTGTCTTTTTATTTATTTTTCCTCCCAAACCCCATCCCCTCAGGAAGCCTTTGCCTCCTGTCAGGTCATCATTGTAAATAAGAATTTGTTCTTAATTGATTTTCCTGGATAAATAAAGGTTCTACTACTACTACTACTACTACTACTTAAAAATGTCTGTTTAAGGCTTAAACAGACATTTTTAACTTGTTTTCTTTCCTTTACATTACTTACAGTTGAAGAGTTGCTTGGCCTCAGATGGTTTAAATGATGTTATGCGATGTGTTTGCCCAAAATAAAATAGCAAACATTTACACATGCAACAAAGAAAAAAGGCCTTTACAATATTCAAAACAAATAGGCAAAACTCAAATAAAATAACAAACAACTTAGGTATTCTTTCTTTCTTCATAAGGCTTATATAACTTCATAACTTAAAGGGTAATTGGACGGTTAAAAACTGTTCCTCGACGGCGTCTTTCTAGCAGGTTGCCCATCACTGTCACTTTAGAGGAGGCGCTGTGGGAATTGTAGTCTTTTATAGTGTGTTGACTACAGACGTCACAATTATATAAAAAATACTGGCTATAACAATTATCCATTGCTTTTCATCTGGAAAAAAGGCAAATAATACAAATACTTGAGAAACTCAGACAAACATCACCTACCTACCTACCTACCTACCTACCTACCTACCTACCTACCTACCTACCTACCTACCTACCTACCTACCTACCTACCTACCTACCTACCTACCTACCTACCTACCTACCTACCGAGTGGACGGGGCCTAAATGGAAGATTTAAACATCACTTTAAATCTTCCATTTAAAGTGATGTTTAAACTCAGTTAATGGGGCTCATTCACTGGAGCTTCCACAAACAACAATCAACTTAATTATTACATTCAAATGATGTACATTATTCAAGTTTACATTCACTTTGGATAATAACTAATAACAAGGGAGAAATGAGCGGAAGCGCTCTCTTTTCCTCTCTCCCTCTCTCTCTCCCCCCCTCTCTCCCCCTCTCTCTCTCCCCTGACAGCCTGTCAGTATCTCATGCAGCTCACTGATCCAGTAATGAGTGACCCGACAGTGAAGAATAAATATATTTATAATAACTAGTTCAGCTTGTTCCAGAGGTAGATCAAATAGCTACAGTAAGTAGGTCTAACTCTTGTGTGTTTCGCTCCGCTCACCGATCCGTCTCAGCGGGTGGAGCTGCAGGATTTCTGCTTCACTCACGTTGCATTCCGCTATTTTACTGTCTTTTTCGGACACCTTAAAATAATGCCAGACCGGTGAAGCCATTTTGGCTAGCTTGTTTTGCCGCGCACAGAGAAAAGTGTCATGTATTTTACGTCATGCGATCGGCTCTCGCGATCGGCATGTTTAGAGAGCACCGATCGATCGGTAGAGAGTGAGTATCGGCCGATCTCGATCGGTGACCGATCGATCGGAGCATCCCTACTACCTACCTACCTACCTACCTACCTACCTACCTACCTACCTACCTACCTACCTACCTACCTACCTACCTACCTACCTACCTACCTACCTACCTACCTACCTACCTACCTACCTACCTATCCATCTACCAAGTTTATTTATGTAGCACCTTTCAACACAAGGCAATTCAAAGTGCTTGAAAAAAAAATGGATTGATCATTTATTCAGACTGGAATCTGCCACGCTGTCACTATGAAACCCGTTTTTTAATGACACTCACCTCAGATTCAGAAACAGGTTTATTACCAGGTAGGTTACACGTACGAGGAATTTGACTTGATGTAATAGGACACCTCCTATCAGTCTTATATTTAGTGAGTTGTGCATGTGAGGATTGAAAACACCACCATCAGGTCCTGTAGTTTACAACGTCTTGGTTGTTCAGCCCGTAGGTCCGCAGAGGGATGGATCCTCTGGGCGCTCGCTCCCAGTTCGTGGACCACCAGTCTCTCCCCACCTGGCAGCAGCAGCTGGAGGGGGGGGGTGGAGAGGCGGCGCCGCTGGACCCGAATGACAGCCTGCTGAGCCTGGAGTCCTTCCCCTCGCCCTTCCCCTTCAGACCCCACATCAACCGCAAGGTCATCCTGTTGTGAGTCAGCCTCCATTTCCTCACGTTGGGCGAAAACCTAGCTATTATCAAATGGTCAGCTTTTTCAGGAACTCACAATGACAGAATCACTTCTTGTTTAAATTAAGTATTTCACAGATGGAAATTAAACTGGGCTGTTAATGCTGAAGGGAAATATTTCTGAAATGATTGCTACATGACCAGATAATACAGATTTTAAAAAAAAAAAAAAAGAAAAAAAAAAGGCTATTATTTGATCTTGTGCTCAAAAGGGAGAAATCCTACAATAACCACAATGCACTGGGCTCCTTACACCACGATCCACTCCTGCTGGCGGTGCTTAAGGACTCCTTAGTGGTTAGTTCATTGACTTTAATCTAAGTTTTAGGAGTATCCCAAAATGTCAGATTCTAGAGTTACATTATTTAACTCTTAGGCAAACAAAAAATGCGTGAGTCTGAGGTTTTTATCAGTTACTCTGGTGTACTCTTCCACATTATACTGTCTTTTAACTATGTTTGGAGATTGTGTTGTGAGCGTGAAATATAATTAAATAAATTATGTATTTTTCTTTAGTTATAATTTGGTTAGGTTTAATCTTCTGAGTGATAACTTGGCTGAGGGGACTTCTTGTAATGTTCAACTCCTGGCAGGCAGGGGCTGATTATTGTAACGGTGACACTGGAGTTGTTGTGTGATCTTTTGACAAATTCATCAGGTTCAAAAAAGCTCTTTGTACTTTGTCGGGAAGCAGGACATTTGCAGACACACGGGTGGTTCTTTCAGTGTTTATTGTGACTCTAAACATGCATCACTGTCAGTTAGTCTTACAGGAGCTGCGTCATAGGAGCAGAAACACACACTCAGCTTGTGTGTGTGTGTGTGTGTGTGTGTGTGTGTGTGTGTGTGTGTGTGTGTGTGTGTGTGTGTGTGTGTGTGTGTGTGTGTGTGTGTGTGTGTGTGTGTGTGTGTGTGTGTGTGTGTGTGTGTGTGTGTGTGTGTGTGTGTGTGTGTGTGTGTGTGTGTGTGTGTGTGTGTGTGTGTGTGTGTGTGTGTGTGTGTGTGTGTGTGTGTGTGTGTGTGTGTGTGTGTGTGTGTGTGTGTGTGTGTGTGTGTGTGTGTGTGTGTGTGTGTGTGTGTGTGTGTGTGTGTGTGTGTGTGTGTGTGTGTGTGTGTGTGTGTGTGTGTCCTCGTAAATCCTCTTGTTGGAGGAACACATGACCGTCCGCAGTTTGACTTGGCACAGTTTCTTTGTGAGAGCCTCGTTGTTTCGGCACATTCCTGCAGCGCTAACGTGACCACGGCTCCTCAAGCAGCGGCACCTTTTTAACTTGTGATCACTTCTCCACAGCTCATGAGCTTTCAACAGTCCCACCCTTTCAAGTTTCAAGGCTTTTATTGTCATTCGTCTATGAAAATCAGAGGTCACAGGCAGGCAGTCAACAGTGCAACACAATAAAACAGATTCAATAGTGCAAGTAATACAAATAAAATAGAATGGAAATAGTGCAATCAGAGTCTATATCTGGTATCCTTGCTGCATTTCAATTCATTTAGGAGGGTGCATTGGTTTGAATGAGGACACATTATACAGCACACATTCTATTATACAAACAATTCCTTTAATGTACTGTATTATTAAAACAACTGTTCCAAGGAGTTGGCTTTAATAGTCTGTGAAATAATAATAGTAAATACATTTCACTGTGGTTGGTTGCAGATCTCACCTTTCACAACCAATGGCCACACTGCCAAATGTTACTTTCACTTTCAGCCATAGAAAGCTGTCATGACATAAGCACGTCAACAGTTCCCCAAGTTATTGCTTACAAAGTCAAAGTCAGCTTTATTCTCAAGAATTCTACATGTTGTACATCCAGAAATATCGAAATATCGTTTATCGAGTTCCTACAGTGTGACATATATACATCAAAAACAAACAAAAAGGACCTAGATAAGGCAAGGCAAGTTTATTTATATAGCACTTTTCAACACAAGGCAATTCAAAGTGCTTTACAAAAAATGAAAGACATTAAGAAAAAGGCATTTAAAATCAGTCATTAAATATATATAGATATGAATATAGATAACCGGGGTATACAGTTTAAAATGTTAATAATATGTTAAAGTGTTCAGCGGAGATGGCAGAAAAGTGGTGTGTGTGTGTGTGTGTGTGTGTGTGTGTGTGTGTGTGTGTGTGTGTGTGTGTGTGTGTGTGTGTGTGTGTGTGTGTGTGTGTGTGTGTGTGTGTGTGTGTGTGGTGTGTGTGTGTGTGTGTGTGTGTGTGTGTGTGTGTGTGTGTGTGTGTGTGTGTGTGGTGTTGTGTGTGTGTGTGTGTGTGTGTGTGTGTGTGTGTGTGTGTGTGTGTGTGTGTGTGTGTGTGTGTGTGTGTGTGTGTGTGTGTGTGTGTGTGTGTGTGTGTGTGTGTGTGTGTGTGTGTGTGTGTGTGTGTGTGTGTGTGTGTGTGTGTGTGTGTGTGTGTGTCACCATTTGGTGCAGGGGAGAAAGGTCAGAGGCAGGGTGGAGAGTTCAGGGGAGAGATGTCAGAGGGGGGGAGAGAGAGAGAGGGAGGGGAGAGAGTTCAGCATCCTGACTGCCTGGTGGAGGAAGCTGTTCCCCAGCCTGACGGTGCCCGAGCTGAGGCTGCAGAACCTTCTTCCTGAAGGCAGGAGGCTGAAGAATGTGTACAAATGTGTGACACTATTATTATTGTAATGTGTTTGACACAACACACCTCTTTTGACAAATACATGTATTGGCGTGTTGATTTCCCAACATCAGACATATGCAAAATAATTAATAAATAGTCACAATGAACAAGTTAGCAGACAATATTTATAAGTAAATAAATATAAATACTTAACAAAAATGGAAGATATTATGAGTCAATCATAATGGAAGTAATTAAATAACATTCATAAGTCAATAAGGTTTTCACAGTGAGTTACAAAGTTGGTTAATATGACACACCTGTAATCATGACGCTTATAAGCAGCATGTGGATTATTTTAGAGGGTGGAGAGTGAGACAGGAATGTTTTTGTCTGCAGCTCGGTTTATATAAAGCTGTTATTATAGCTTATTATGAACTCGATGCCATTTAGCTTCAGTATTTGGAACCTCAGGAGTTACACAGATGGAGATACAAATAAATATAAAACAGCATCTTCAATTCTGAGGTCTGTTTGTTCAGTAAGTCAGGACTCATTTTATTAACCTAAAAGCGATGATGTAGGAAAAAAAAGCTCTTCCTCTTCTGTCCTGGAGGCTGAACTTGTCTTGTGACCAAATATCTTCAACACATGCTTAAGTAGTTCCTCATTGTTCTCTCCAACAAACACTGGAGGGCCTCACAGTGACGAATCTATTTAATAAAACACGCTTTTTACTTTGGATTAATGTCCAAATGTTTATGGTTGTTTGGATGAAGGTGTGCAGACCAATGGGTATATGTGTGCTCACTCACTGTCTTGAGATAAAACAACTTGAATGACCTCTGGCGACACGGATGCATTAAAGGTCCCCTATTATACTGTTTTTCATCAATATATTATAGGTGTCAGATATATACAGAACATGTCTCTGAAGTGTTTGGCTCCGAATACCAAACAGATCATTGTAGCATTACCCATAATCCCCTCTGTTTCAGCCCTGTTTCAAAAGTGCTGATTCTCTGTCTGTTACTTTAGATGAAAATAAGGAGCTCCTCCCCACGCCCCTCTGTTACCTCATTCACACCAACAGTGTTTCACGGCCGGTTCGGAGCTGGAGCTTGAAAAGCAGCGGGTTTTCCTGTTCACACCGCAGCGGAGCAGCCTCTTAGCTCCGGAATCCGGTTCGTTTCAAGCACCAAAAAATGGTCCGGCCAGAGCAAAAGCACCACATACGTCACGCTTACGTCGAGGCGGGGGCAGGGGCAGATCAACTTCTGAACAACAACAAAAAGCCGGCGTTTTATCCAGTTTGTACACAACGATGGAGAAACTTAACAAGCAGCAGTGGTCCACTGAAGAGACCAGCTACCTACTGGGAATCTGGTCTTCCGAAGAGGTACAGAAGAAGCTGGAGCACAATCGGCCATTGTTGTTGTTGTCGGTGTCAGCTGTGAGGAGTTTCCGCGCGGTTTGGCTTTATGAAGCAGGCACGCAAACGGTTACGTCATGACGCAAACGATGACGCAACGACGCAGCACCAGTCGGACTCTGGTCGGTGTGAAAAGAGCCGGAGCTAAACCGAAGAACCGGTTCTGAACATGAAAAGCTCTAGCACGGAGCTTGAACCGGTGTTGCGTTGGTGTGAATGAGGTATCAGAGATATTTGGTTAAAAAGAACACAAAGGTGCTCAAGGAGGAGATTCAGGTGATAAGGTGTGTGTGTGTGGGGGGGGGGGGGGGTTACCTTGGTTGCTGATTGGCTAATGGTCACACAAGCCAAAACATTGTTATGACATCATAAAGTGGCCAAAATCTGATCAGCTCATTTTCAGACAGGTTTTTATATAGAAATGGATCAGGACAAAAAGAGAGAAACTTTCAGAATCTCTTTACACAGAGGGGACACATGTTGATGTAGAAGAGGTGTGAACAAGTGCATTTTGCACAATAGGTGACTTCAGGGGCGTTGCCTGGACCTGAAAACATTCGGGGCTTAGCCCACAGTGGCGGCGGCCGCGGCACTACAGTGGAATCTTCTACTGCAGGGGTTGGGAACCTCCGGCCCCCGGGCCGAATACGGCCCGCGAGACCATTTGGTGTGGCCCTCGAGGTAATTTATAAACACACGCAAAAAAGAAAAAAATTAAAGAAATCTAGACCGCAAAATAATTAAACAAGTGAGTTCCTGTTTTTCCTGGCCAAGGTCAGGGTCCTTGAACACAACACAAGCCTAACGTGTCATCACGTGGTATATGTCTCGTCTGACAGGGGTGCAGTTCTGACCGGGAGCACCAGAACGCAGCTCCGCTCCTGCACTTCCAAAAATTGCAGTACCCATAAGGAGCCGTACACATGCTGCAGTTTTTGCGTGGCTGTGTCTTTAGTTGAAAGCCCAGTGGCGATCAGCTCATCTGTCATACAGTCAATAACTTTGTTGTTATTAGCATCTGGTTAGCTAGCTATGCTAACGAATATAAGAAGCTTTTTCTACAACCAGTGAGGTAAAGGCACATCTTTATATGATCATTATGGTTATAAAAAAATAAGAGAATAAAGTAAACTGGTATAAAATACTATATGACGGTAAAAAAAAGTTGTTACAGTTTAAAGGGGAGTGATTTGTAAAATATCCATAAAGAAAAAGAAAATCTGTTTACAGTTCTGTTTCATATGGGTGTTGAGAGATGTATCCATAGGTCACCTCATGTTGCTCTCAAAGTGCACCAGATTGATGCTTTTAACTTCAACATTTAAAAATAAATCTTCCCGGGCGAGCATGCCCCCAGACCCCCCTAGAGGAGGTTAGGTCCTCCCACCACTTAAATCATGTTCACATGGATAGGAAACAAAATACATTTGCACACATCTTGTGTCCATATCTTTCTGTTTTGGAGGTCATGCCACACCGTGCACGTGCATGCATACGCGAGTCATGGCCAGATATCTTGATCAAGAGGTTGCTTTTTCTTTGCACAGCATGAAAGAAAGGCGAAATGAATGGGCTGTGATTTTAGTTTTTTTTAAGCAGAGGTCAATAATTTGTACGGCCCTCGGAGGATGTTGAAAACATTGAAATGGCCCTTGAGAGGAAAAAGGTTCCCCACCCCTGTTCTACTGCAACACTCCCCACACGCACACACACAGTACACCCGCGACTGTTACAATGAAGGCTCGATAATCATATATAATCAGCATATAGGCAATGCAGGGGTAAAGTGCTATTTTTTTTTTATGAGTGGGACTAGGGGGGTCTGGGGGGCATGCTCCCCGGGAAGATTTTTTTTTAAATATTGAAGTTAAATGCATCAATCTGGTGCACTTTGAGAGCAACATTAAGAGATCTATGGATACATCTCTCAACATCCATATGAAACAGAACTGTAAACAGATTTTCTTTTTCTTTATGGATATTTTACAAATCACTCTCCTTTCAAACTCTATTCTTGTTTTACTGCCATATAGTATTTCATACCTGTTTTTCATTTATTCTCTTAATTTTTATAACTATAGTGATCATATGAAGTTGTGCCGCGGAAATAATCTTTTGAATAATTTGTGACCAAACCGTTTGAGACCCACTGAGATAACTTAGACTAAAGTGAACTATCTAAACACTCAGAGTCCTTTAGCTCACCTGAGCCTCTCAGTCTGAGAGGAGAGCTCTCCTCCAGCTAGTTGTGGAACAAACAGCTCCTTATGTCCGTTAGTGCAGCTAGCTAACCAGATGCTAACAACACGGTCCCTGCTGGCCTCTCTCTCTCTCTCTCTCTCTCTCTCTCTCTCTCTCTCTCTCTCTCTCTCTCTCTCTCTCTCTCTCTCTCTCTCTCTCTCCCTCCCCCCGAATGCCCAGGCCAGGCGACGCCACTGGGTGACCTTTAACTGTTTTTGTTTCTCCCCAGCTGTGGTGATATCGGCCTGCTGAACTGCACGGCCATCGTGAACACCAGCAACGAGTTTCTAAACGATAAAAACCCGGTGTCCGACAGCATCCATCGGCTGGCAGGAGCCGAGCTGAGAGACGAGCTGCTCAAACTCAAAGGTAGAGAAAACATATTAGCTCCAACTTTGAAGATAAAGCTGTATTTCAGCTCGCCGGGAGACAACACAATCTAAATGTGGCTTCACT